GGGGGGGGGGGGGGGGGGGGGGGGGGGAGGCTCATTTTTGTACACTATAAAGCCCAATACAGTACAGAGTGGATAGGACTTCGGCATCGACCGACAGGAGGAAAGCGTGGCAAGCTAGGGAGAGAAAGGACTGGCGAGACACACACAGAGAGAGAGAGAGAGAGAGAGAGAGAGAGACGGGGCACACACACACACACACAAAGAGCGAGCGAGCGAGCGAGCGAGAGAGAGAGAGAGAGAGAGAGAGAGAGACGGGGGCAGGATGTGTGTACGAGGGAGTCGGGCGAAGGGAGGCGAGGGGGGTAGGCGAGGGAGAAGTGAGCGAGGAGAAGGGAGGAGTATGTTTGTGTGTGTGTGTGTGTGAGAGAGAGAGAGAGAGAAGGGAGGGGGAAGGGAGGGGGGAGGGGGGGAAAGACAGAGATTCTAAATTTGTGAGAAATTCCGCCTTTTTTTGTCGATATGATTGGTATGAAGTCGTGAAAAAAAAAATCACCCTTGACTTCAAACCCCTTGCTGCGGCAGCTCACGTCAGCTATCATCATTTCTCCACCCTCGTCATTTTTTTTTTTTTTTTTTTTTTTTCATCTATGGGACCGCCGCTGCCTTCTTACAGTAATAAATCGGAAAAAAGCGCTCCAGTTCAGTCAGCGAATTATCAATTCTATCAAAATACAAGAAGTAATTATAAAATTTAATTCTATCTGTCTGGTGGGTCAGTCCGATTCCCCAGACGAACAAGAGCCAATCGATTCAACGAAATCAATGACGAAGGGGAACGGTCGTGCAATCTCGTTGCTCGTGCTGTACTGTCTGTACACGAAACCTCCATGAATAAGAATGACGTCTGATAACCACTATGGCATGCTGTCTGCTTTCCAAGCTGTGTATGTCAATCCTTTGTCTGTCTTGGGGCCTGACTCTACTGATTTCGAAATCTGGAAAACGAGAGTGCATCTTCCGCTAGAACATGGAAAGATACACCGCCATCATTTCGTCTTTTGTGCATGTCGAGAGTAGTGGAGCGAGGCCCTTTGTCTGCCTGTGTTGTGCGTGTGTGTGTGTGTGTGTGTGTGTGTGTGTGTGTGTGTGTGTGTGTG